AAAAACCACTAAGATTTATGTGGGTTGCATGTGAGTGTCTAAAGAAGGAACGTAAAGTACTTACGGGCCATTTGCTGGTATGGATGGACCAAGAGCCAGTTCATTTCCGGTTCTCTCGTCTCTTGTATTTTCAGGACCTGGCAAGAAAAGCTAAATGTATATCACAAATGAGAGAAAAAAAATAAACCGAAAATTCAGAAATATAATTCACTATGGCAGGTTCCAAATTCCAGCAATATTTGTCCATTAGAAAACAAAGACAATATTGTCAATTTGCAGAAATTCACACCAACTCGTTCAATCTCAGATCAAATAGTCCTCAACAAACCAAAGCTACCCTCTGATGATGCCCCAAAGTTCAAAGTTGTGATTTCTCATAATATGTTTCTCTCTCGTTAACACGCTCCAAAATGCATACTTTAACAATTCTAGTAATCTTTCTTTACTCAACTACAAATTCATAATGCTAACAACAAGTAGCAATGCACCATGTGGATCCGTGAGAATTTTCACAAGAAGATACTGCTGACCAAGTTTTGCACATATGTTGCTACAATTATACATTTCCCTTTATGCTTTCTCCCTTCTCTTCGGAGAAGCTGGCAAGCAGGTTTATTACAGGAAGAATTCCAGTAATCCATTCACAATATGGAAGGTAAAAGAGGATTGCAGGTCACTGTGAAAATTCTTGACGATAAGTGTGTCACTATGAAAGTATAATGAATGAATTGAGGGTTTTATAGACTGAATGGCTCACCCATCAAATAGTCAGTTTTTTGGGTTAGCTCTCCTATTCAATCTGTAACAAGAAAGTATTTTGGGTAGATGGAATACCTGGAAGAGCAAGGGCATTGGAGGGTGCAGAAGCTGGTTGAGCTTGATTCTGCACACCCGCTTTAGCATTAGAAGACGGTTCAGCCGCTGAGCCTTTTATCCCTCCATACTCGACATTTAGCTGTAACATTCAAAACCCATCAGTTTGGTTTGAATCCCCAAAACACATAAGATAGAAGATACCGAAGAATAACACAATGCCCTACAACTTGTAAAGCATGCCCACTAAAATCTAGTATTGAACATCTTCCTTTCTTATCTACTTAGCAGGAAAATTACAATCTTTACAAAGAATCAGCATGATTACTGACCTTAAAGCTCGTTCGAATTTTCTTGCTGCACAAAGGGATTAAAAAAAACGTAAATAATCAGATAAAGCAATTATATTAAAGAAAACGAAAATTAGGGCTAATTAGGGATTCCAAACAGCGGCGGGACTAGAGAGAAAAAAGGGGTAATTGACATTGTACTTTCAATTAGATTTTAAGGGATACCTTTCAGGGTCAGGAAGAGGGAAATGACCATGGAGAGGTGAAAATAGGTCAAGAGATCGTTTAAGGGACTTGAAGCTTAGCTTCTTCAGCGATTGTGGCTCCACTGGAAATTCTGATTCCATTGTTGGACCCGGCATTCCTTACAGAGGCCGCGTAAGAGAGTCACTTCTTCTGCCGACGCCGGAGTCGTACTGTACCGCCGGGAGGAGATGGCCGGAATATAGAGCTCTTTTCCCTGCAAAATAATAATACAACATCTTGCGGTTTGCATATAACAAAAGAAAAAAGGGTTCAAAAATTCCTATTTTTAATAAATAATTATTAATTTTAATGATATTTTTTACCATTTATAGTATACATAGTAATATTATAAAAAAAATTATTAGTATGTTTTAAAAGTGAATATGTATGAAATATAAATGTATTATAAGTGTTTTAAAATGTATTAGGCTTGTTTATCAAGAAATTGACATTGACACAATATAATATAAGTATATTAAAGTGTGTGATAATGTATCACTCGTGAATAAAATTTATATATTTGTGTTTTTTAAATATTCTCTATATATACTAAAATTATATTATAATTATTATAAGTGTTCAATTAAAAATATCATTATTATAAATAGTAAATATTTTTTACATATAAGATATCTATATAAATTTCCAAAAAAATAACCTTCAGTCATCCAAATAAACTAAAAATATCATGATTGTTTCAAAACAAAAAAAGAGACAAATTTATACCTATTATTTTTAAAATGTGATAATTTGCTCGTTCCTCCCAAGTGGGGACAAAAGAAGTGAAAAGAAATAAGTATTCTCAACTTATAACTGATGTCGTATAAACAACTATATAAATTAGACTTAAAAGAAAATATTAGCTTGTTTCTTTTCACTTCTTTTGTCTCACTTGGGATGAAGGAGCAAATCATAATCCCTAAAGTAGAAAAAAAAATCCATCAACCAAATTTAATAGTCTCTCAATTTCAAAAGATTTTTTTTTTTAGTTTTTTAAAAAAAGAATGACGCATTTCCTTTTTTGACAACACTTTAACTTTAACTTTCCACCTGACATGTTTGAGGCCACAAGATTAAAAGATATTTTTGTGACATACCTCTAATTTAGGATCACAAAATTAAAAAGTCTTATTTCTTTTTTTAAACTCCGTTTCAAGTCAAACTATGACATTTTTTTGAAACGGAAGGAGTACTATTATCTTTTCATTTTAAAATGAATAACCTACTTTTTTTTTAGTCTATTTTAAAAAGAATGATTTTTTCCTTTTTTCGCAATTCTTAAATTTCAGTTTTTCAAATGACATATTCAAGAATTATGACATTTTGATATATTTGACATAAAGTAATTTAGATTATGTGATTGAAAAGTTTTTTTTTTTTCGTAAAATATATGCCTTTTAAATTAGATCATTCTTTTTTAATATGATAGAGTAATAATTAAAGAAAAAGATTTATGAGTGATTTGTATCCCGAAATAGTCTGAATTCGAAACAAAATCAAGTTGCTTAAAAACCGCCGTTTTTGGG